AATGCGGGAACGGGAATTCTGGTGGACACTCCGGGAACGGGAACACGGGAACGGGAATTGTATTAAAAATTTCTGTTCCCGGCAAACCCTATGTCCGATTTCTGTTTGCATTAAAATCTGTTAATCCTACAGTATTCGATTTCCAATAACCATTTGAAATATAATTGAAAAGAGAACAAATATCAGTGAACAAATATCAGTGAACAAAATCAGACAAGTTCATTCAAACATAGATTATGAGAATCACGATATTCTTTACCACCATCGTCGTCGTCGGCATCGAAGTTGGGATAATCAAGATTACATATATGTCAAACTTGAAACTTGAATTCAATTGAAATTTCAAGTTTCAACTGAAATTTCAAGTTTCAAGTTTCAATAGGTTTATGAGCCTGGAATCAGAAATTTACTTTTAATATACGGAATCTTGTATTGTGAGAAACATGATGTCGCTAAAAGCTAGTATCAAGTAGGAGTAGTGTTGATGAATGTGAATAATGAAATCATTGTAGCTATTCTCAAAGCATTACGGGAACGGGAATACGGAACGGGAACGAAACTTTTGTTACGGGAACGGGAATACGGGATCGGGAACGAAAATTTTTGTTACGGGGACGGGAACGCGGGAACGGGAACAAAAATTTTCAATACGGGAACGGGAACACGGGAACGGGAACCAAAAAAAGTTGTTCCCGCAGGTCTCTAGTACGATGTCACTTCAGTCCCTATACATTCTATTTTATATATACCGTTAATGCAAAACAACGGAGTATGAGTACCACTGTGAGTACTCATACTACCTCCTGCGAGTAGGTATACACGAAATACTCACATTAGTACGTATCTGAGTACTCAACAATTGTTCATATTCATTAAATTCGTCGAGTACTCGTTCGAGTAATCTGAGTACTCATGCTGACAAATCGTACTCGCTTGATGAGTATTTTCACTAGGGACATTAAAAATTAAAAAAGTTTTAGCAAAGAAACAAAAACAAAATCGACCTGTACCACAACGGGTGTATTTACTGTTTGATTTTGGTTATTATATTCAGTCTCTATTAATTTAGATTCGTATGCAAACAGGAAATACAAATCGATATAATTCAAAACGTCGTCGTTTTCGTCGTACGAAATTGAAATTATAAAATAAAGAATACATATCGATTGACAAAAAGAAAACATTCATTTTTTTTTTGTTTTGTTTTTTCTTGAAATGAATAAATGCTCAGAGTAGATAAAGCACTTCAATTGTAATAAGAAAGTATCATTGGTAGCATCTTCTATCGGTAATAGACTGTCTTTTGATTTCTCTTTCCCTCTTGCTATGATTTTAGGAAGGATTGCTACTAGCATCATGAAATAACCAGCTATTACTGAAGTAAATCTAAAATACTTTTTATTAAAAAGAAAAAACTTTTGATGAATAAAATTAGAGTATATTGTGAGAAAAAAACGTCCGATATATGTGTATATTTATCTTTTTTATCTACTCCAGTTTTTTAAGTGCCAGTCGGTAATAGCGACCACCTAATGCCATTAGTTCTTCGTGAGTTCCAATTTCTACAACTCTTCCATGATACATAACACAAATTATATCAGCGTTTCGAATAGTTGATAAACGATGTGCAATTGTTATTGATGTTCGATTTTGTTGAGCACAATCTAAAGCTTCTTGAACTAATTTTTCACTTTCACTATCTAAAGCACTTGTTGCTAAATAAATGTATATATATATCACAGGATCATCATAATATTAATTTTTATCGTCTTACCTTCATCAAGCAAAAGAATTTTTGGATTTCGAATTAATGCTCTAGCAATAGCTAAAACTAAAATAATTAAAACAAAATATTTCTTCTTATCATCATACCAATTCGTTGTTTTTGGCCACCAGATAATTGAATTCCTTTTGGACCACAATTTGTTTCATATCCCTTTTAGTTTTACAATAGAAAATAAAATTCTAAATAAAAATTCATTAATATTTAACTTACGTCTGGAAGTTGTTGAATAAAATTATGAATATTAGAAATTTTAGCTGCTTGAATTATTTCATCAAGTGGAATATTTTCTCGATTATTATCACCATAAGCAATATTTTCACGAATTGATCTATCAAATAGAACTGGTTCTTGTGAAACAATACTAACTGATAAAATAAATTAAATAAAATTTCTATTTTTACAACGAAAAAAGAAAAAGATATTTTTCGACAAACTTTGTGATCGATACCATTGTAGATTAAGACTTCGAATATCTTTTGAATCAACTAACTGTTATAAAAAAAAAAAACAAATAAATTCATATATAAATAAAGAATAATTTTCTTTACCAAATGACCAATATTTGCATCATAAAATCGTTGTATTAATTGCATTGTCGTAGATTTTCCACAACCAGATGCACCTGTAGATAAAAAAATTTCTCAATTAGTTTATAATAAGAAAAAGAGAAAATTTAACATACCAACAAGTGCTAATTTTTGTCCTATATAAAAAAAAACAAAAAATAAATTTAATAAATATTAAAGTTAAATAAATACCAGCTTTGATATTAAGTTTAAAATCTCTAAGAATGATTGATTCAAATCTATTTGGATAGACAAAATAAATACCATCGAACTCAAGTTGTCCTGTAAAATTAGGCTATAGGACAAAGAGAAGAATAATTCAAATATATCTGATAGTATTTACTCACTATTTCATCGCCATCTTTTGATTCATTATTAATCAAAGGTTTTCGATTTAATAATTCGAAAATTTTCTCAGCCGCATTAATTGCTTTTCCATAATTTGGAGATCTAGAAAGAAGAACTTTTGAATCTTATATACATTATTAAAAAGCTCACAATATTATAGCTTCACATGCAGTTTCAACAGTGAATGTTACAGCATTGAAAATCCTAAAAAATTAATTGTGATGTTTCATTTATTTGAGAAGAATTGAAAAATAATTCTTGTCTTTTATCTTACATGTACAAATCCTCAAATGTAATGATACTTTGATTAATAAGAGTATTACTGAGTGAAATGAGAGCTGCTGTATTGAAGTTATAAGTTGAAACTGATATTGAGAATAAAATGCCTAGAAGATGTGCTCGTTTGACTGTTGATCTATAAAAAGCTTTATTGCTTGATAAATGTAGAAAACAAAATGAAATACCGATAAATAATATTGAGTAATCGAGAATATTCATTATAAAAATGATCTTCTTTTGTTAATTGAGCTACTGTTCGAATATTTTGAATAGCTTCCACAGTTAACTGCAATATAATATTTATCAATTAAGAAATATTAATCAAATAATCCATTGAACTATTGATTAGTGAATTCAAAAAAAATTTTCTATATTACATGAACTAGCTACTCACTTATTGTGTTGATAAAACCTAACTAGTACATTCTATGCATATTTCAAAGAAAGATTCATATCATTATTTAATATGGTCAGTAGTTTGTAATCCGATTTTTGATCAAGGATACTTTTCGGTTAGCAAAATCTAATTTTTTTCACAGCCTAAACATCCTTTTCAGTAAATCTACACAATCTATCTCGACATTCAAAAGAGCAAAATCATTATCTTATTAAGAATTGCTGTCAATCTAACATGAAATTTATCGTCGATCGTATTATTATGGCCTGACTCAAGCTCAATCGAACTCTCAATCATATACTTGAAGCTTTATCTTCTTAGCTGTAATTAGAAACTCGCAAGATATGCAAATTATGAAAAACGTTGCAGGATAGAGTAAGACAAGACAGGTTATAAGGAAAATTTTGCGGATAGGCCAGGTTAAGATTACCGAAATTTGCACAGAGCAGATTTCGAAACATTCTTTCGGTGCTCATTTATACTATAGATTAAATTCAAACCTTTCCAGCATCTCCAATGAATTGTTCGTCTTTCCTTTCGAATGAAGATGTTAGACGAATCTGTAAATACGATCCAACTATCATTAATGAAAGGAAGGCAAACGTAAGTAATGTAAGTTGCCACGAAAATACGAATCCGACAATAATACCCATGCCTAGTGATACAAGATTTTGACAAAGAAAACCAAAACGAACACCGCTAGCATCTTGTACAGCTGTTGCCTCAGTTGCCAGACGTGTACATAATGTACCTGTAGTATGTTTTTCTTGATCGAAAAAAGCTATCTCTTGTCGAAGAATAGCACGAAAAGTTTCTGAACGAAGCCGTTTAATAAGAATTTCACCAGAATAAGCAAACATAAAACTCTGAAAAGAACATATATGGGAAAAAATATAAACTAAATTATCAAAATACATACATAAAGCAATTGAAATATAAAACCTACAATTGCTAAACCAACAAAAAGTAATGTGTAGAGAAAGACTTGTCGATTTTGAACGTTTTCATCACATTCTTGAAAGATCTTTCAAATAAACAAATTTCAAAAATCAAACGATTATTCAATTATCTACCATAATAAATTTGGTTCGAATAATACCAAATGATGGATTTAGTGTTCCAACAAAGAAAGCTGCTATACAACCACAGATAATTAATAACCATTCTGGTTTATTCATTTTTAATATAGCCAATGGTATGTTTTGCCTTCTTTTCTATAATAATCATATATAATTCAAATATTCAATTTTTTCTTTTGTAATTGTTTTTTTACCTTTTTTTTTCTCATCGTTTCATCATCATTTTCTTCCAGATTTTCAGTTAGTAGAGACAATGTTGATGAACTACTGCTAACTAATCTTGATTCACGCTTTCGTGTAGTATCTGAATTATCTAATTGTGTTTGGTCAGAAAGAATTATTTCTTTAGCTGCTTTGTTTTGTTCAAGATCTAACTTTTCTTTTTCTCCAGCTTCATGTAAATTTTGTTGTTCAACAAAATGAAAGTATGTTCCTCGAGCTTTCATCAAAGAATCATGATCACCTTCTTCAATTGTTTCTCCTTTTTGCATTACAATAATTTTATCGGCATTTCGAATCGTCGATAAACGATGTGCAATTACTAACGTTGTTCTTCCTATTGATAAAAAAAATGAATCAAAATAATAAAATAGTAATTACTTTTAACATAAATTACCTTCAGCAGCTTGATCTAAAGCATCTTGTACTATTTTTTCACTTTCATTATCAAGTGCACTAGTCGCTATAATACACAAAAAAATGTCTAGAACAATATAAGAAAATAAAAATAAAACTTTTACCTTCATCAAGAAGTAAAATTTTTGGATTTCGAATTAGTGCTCGAGCGATAGCTAAAATTTAATAAAAAGAAAATGAATAATATCATACATAAATATAAGATATATTCTTCCTAACCAATTCGTTGTTTTTGTCCGCCAGATAGTGTAGCTCCACGTTCACCTACTTGTGTATCATATTCCTAAAAATACTTTTCATATTAATGTAAAAGAAAATAAATAAATGACACACTTACATCAGGTAGAGTCATGATAAAATTATGTGCATTAGCCACTTTGGCTGCTTGAATTATTTCTTCATTAGTAGCTGAATCACGACCAAATAGAATGTTTTCACGAATTGTTGCATGAAATAAAATTGGTTCTTGACTAACAACACCAATGTGTTGTCGTAACCATTTTAAATTATATTGATTAACTTCTGTTCCATCAATAATAATTGAACCTGAATCTGGATCATAAAATCGTTGTAATAATTGTATACATGTTGATTTTCCTGAACCAGATGAACCAACAAGAGCAACAGTTTGACCATTTTTAACATCAAATGATAGATTAGTAAGAACTGGAACATCTTTTCGTGATGGATAAGAGAAATTAACATTTGAAAAATGAATATCACCAATGAGATCATCTTTTACCAGACCTTTTTCTGAATCACTATTAATCTTTGATGGCTAGTGAAATGTATTAGAATATTTACATGCATGTAAAATAAAAAGGTTAATCTACTTCATCAATGACTTGTTGTACATGATAAGCAGCAGTTTGAGCTTGAATTAATGCTTCATATTGTGGACTAATAAGTTCCAAACTGAAAATAGCATTAAAAATGGTCATAAAAACCTAGAATAAATTGCATTTTATATAAGTGATTGAAAAAGAATTGAGTGAATATAATATGAAAAATAATATTTGTTGAAATTAAAAAAATAATTAACGAAATATTAAGTAATCGTTTGTGATTGTTTTTTTGAAATTCAAATTTTAATGCCACTTTGTCCCTTAAAAATAGAGAACAGTCAGGTTTTTTCGTGATACGTATCAGAGGTGCAACCAGGCCGACTTTTTGCAGGCCTGGCCGGCCTATGACAGGCTTATGCCTTTCTCGACCTGCCTGTGCCTGTCATCTTATTTCTTCAGCCTGGCCTGCCTGCCTGCCATTTCCTCCGGCCTGCCTGGCCTGCCTGTATAGGCCTGTCTATTCTTTTCATACTGGTGCCATAATGATAACATATTAGAAATAAATATTTATTTATATAGAGCGAAAGAAGTCACTTCAATCAGCTCATAGATGAAGATTTTTTTTGATTATTTTTAACTACAATAAATTCTTTTCGATCATCTTTTCGCTTTAACATAAACTCAATCGATGATGATGTATATTGCCGATTTATTGGTGAACGAGACAGAAAAGTATCAATACAAATCACAGACGATGGTTGAATATCACTCATTTTTCTAAAACGATAGTTGAAAAGTTTGAATTAAGGTAGAACAAAAATCAACAGAAAAAAACTCGACTCCAAACAAGAAAAGAATCGAGTAAATAATAAATAACAATAATAGTAGGATTTGAATTTATTATTAGCCATAATTTCGACCAATCACAATGAAGAGAGAACATATTGTTCACTTTTATCGACATCTATATTTCACTATATCTTTTTGTTGGCAATGTTTTCGATGAATAGTACGAAACTTCGATTTAAAGTGAAAAGAACACAGGCCAGGCGGCCTGTCATTTTCGAGCGGCCTGCCTGGCCTGTTGTGCTGGTCGGCCTGGCCTGCCTGCTACAGGCCAGGCCTAAAAATCAAGGCCTGTGCCTGTGACAGGCAGGCAGGCCCAGACAGGCAGGCAGGCTTAGTGGCCTGGTTGCACCTCTGATACGTACTCTGAATTTTGTACTTCAATAAAATCAAAAAGCATTATATGGAAACAAGTGACGTGTATATCCTTATCAGTTAAATTTTTGTAATCCAATCCGAGTTTCCTTTTCTCTTCAGTCTGTTCAAATCCACACGAAAAATATCATAATATGAATGTAACTAACAGCGCTACATACATATTCACATATTTTGTTTAATTTATTTTAATTTAATTCTCAATCTTGTCTGACAATTGGAGGCGGAGCATAGAGGAAGCGTATAAGATTTTCCGCACCAGAGCAAATGCTAATTTTTCCCAGCATCCTGACACTGAAGAAAATCTTGCTATTTCCAACTGAATTCCAAGCAAAAACGTTAGGGTTCGAAAAGCACCATAAATTAATAAACAACTGTACAGTTTTTCGCAGAGCGAGAACTTTTGCAGAATCAAGACAGATTTTCTGCTTTCTTCTGTAAGCTCCATAAGTAGACAGAGATTTTGAAAAAGCGCGATATTTATGAATGATTTTCCATCGAAACAACAATTTTTGTTGATAGTTTCTCGCTGTTTTGGGTGTTTTAGAAGACATTTTCATTGAGAGTGGGTAAAAATACCAATAAAAACTGCTATTTCGTTCGAAAATTTGGTCAAAACTGACCTCGACAAGAGGAAGTTGAGTACTTTGCTCCATTTATTCATAAATTTCGTGCTTTTTTGGAATTTCTATCTATCTGGGTTTCGAACAGAAGTATTGTCGCATGAAACTTACGAAATTTCTCAATACTTGTGTCATCAAAGGCGGCTGAGTTGGCGATGATTTTCCAAAAACGAAGCTGTTCAGAAAGGCAAAAATACATCAACAACTAATTCAGAGAAGTTTCTCAGTTGGAAATATTCAAGCTTATTATTTATCCACTCCACTTTCACAGAAAAAAAGGAGTAGATGCCTAATTCGACTTCGAAAATAAATGCAAGATTGAAAAATTTCCCTAGCATACGAATCACTTCAGGAATAGATTTTCTTTCATTTATATATATATATATATATATGCATAAGTCATAGATAGGCATGATCCTGTTAGTTTAGGAATTTAGCGATAGATATTCTTTTAGTGATAAGTCATAGATAGCTATGGTCCTGTAAGTTTAGGAATTAGGAATAGATTTTCTTTTAGTTATAACTCATAGATAGGCATGGTCCTGTTAGTTTAGGAATTTAGGAATAGATTTTCTTATAGTTATAACTAATAGATAGGCATGGTCCTGTAAGTTTAGGAATTTAGGAATAGATTTTGTTTTAGTTATAACTCATAGATAGGCATGGTCGTGTTTGTTTAGGAATTGAGGCATAGATTTTCTTTTAGTTATAGGAGATAGATATGCATGGTCCTGTTAGTGTAGGAATTAGGAATAGATTTTCTTTTAGTT